GTAAATTCATGCTATGACTACATTATTAGTAAATATATACAGATTCACCACTAAAAGGTTTGTTATGGGTTTGACTTTATTAATGCCAAAATACCAATTGCCTGCCATGGATGACTGAGAAAGATGGCATTATGAAATCAGACAAGCTTGACAAAATGATGGTCATCATTTCTCATGATATACTAACTAGGTTGTGTTGAAAGAATGTACAAAACATCGCAAGCTTCTCACTATTCTATCCCTATATCCATAGTAAATGTTTTGACAAACTACATTCATTAGTTTCACTAGTTTAGACCCACAATACCACATATGCTGGGTTGAGCAAACCCCATTCCCTTCATCTTCCATGAGTAAGAAGGAAGTTCCATTTGGACAGCTTCTTACAAAGAACTGCTACTTTGTGAAACAGACTCCCATGTTGATACTTCCTCAATCAGTACAATCATAACCTCTTCAAGTTTTGAGTCAACCATTATATTTCCTACATATTCTCATAATCTGCATTTCTCCTCCTCCTCCTCCTCTGTTCATACAACAACTTCATTCAGTGACATTCAACCTTGAGTGGCTCTTGGGCTTTGTATTGAGTGAACAATTAGTAAAAAGCAAAATCTTTTCAGGTTTTTAGTTTTTTTATTTAATACAATTTCCTTATTTCACAAAAATATCCCAGAAAAGTTCAATATAGTTCATGTCAAGAGACATACTTGACTATAAATCACTTAATAGCTTTTTTATTTTCTCTTGTATCTGATAATCATGTATTGTTTGGTAAAAAATGAGTATATACTAAAAAGAAAAAAGTTATTAAATTATACATTCACAGTTTACAGCTGAAATTGGAATTCCTGATGGCCATGTTATTTGACATTTAGAAGATTCCACTTTTAGACTGACCTGCTATATATCTCTTTTCAAAATCTGAAAAGATTCCGTATAGAGATATATGCATCTGTTGTACAAGTGATTTCTCTTAAACTGCACAAATGTCATTGAATATATCCTTATTAAATGTCAACTCTGTGTAAAATAATGTTTACTTCTGCCGTATCTCTGTATTCATACATGTCTGCATTTGTGCAGGCCAAGAGAAAGAAAAATAAAGAAAAGAAAAACTTATGGTAACATGTGTTGATAATATGAAAGTCATCTTGGTGCATTCTGCTACATTTAAATTCATAGAATAATCAATTATACTTAATTGTATAATGTTATTGAAATTAATTCTATCACGCGTATCTAATCAAAATGACAAAAAGTGTAATAAAAAGAAAATTAAAAGATGGATCTTACTTCTTATATATTTCTTATGCAAATAAAAAATTAATAAAAAAAAAACATCAAACATTTTTGATTAAACCTGAGGAAATGTTATCACTTTTAACACTATGAAGAATTTAAAACACATTTTATTAACAAAATTAATTTGTTTTTGTATTATAATAAACAAACCCATTATGATGAAATGATTTACACTCCAGTATTGATATAAAACAATAATGTTAAAGAAATCTTAGAAGTATATTTCAACTGTCTTTATGATTCTAAGTAGAAATATCTTTTTGCTTTCATTTTTCATCTGTTTTTCATCATCTGGTAAAAAATTTCCCAGATATTTGAATTTCTATACTTGCTTGATTTTGACATCTGTAGTTTGTAGCTTGCATTTTGGGTTGACTCTTTGTTCAGAAATTAATATGGCAGCTCAATTACAAAATGAAATAAATGAATCACAAGTTTAAACTGGAAGATTCAAGAGATGTAGAACTCACAAATTGCAAGTCCAATGTTAAAAAGCCCAACACACATAAATGGTCAGAAATTCAACACACAAGGTACCAGTGACTCGCAAACAGACTGATGAGGTAGAAAAATAAACTGCTTCCCAGTTCGAGAACACTCACTGCTTTTAGTGACAGAATAATTTTTTCATTTGTCAACAGTTGGAGAGGACAAACAATATTAGCATATCTGAGATGCATTTATGGCAACAGCTGCGACTAACTTGTTTCTATTTTGATTATTTTGCCTTCGGCATATTGTGCAGAACACACATGCCCCTTTTTCTGGTAAGTGACTTTCTCTTTCACCACACTCTTTTCTAAACAATCATACATGCTGTCTTCATAGAAAATAATGAAGAGAAACAGTGTTTTTTTTTTTCTGGTTACAAACAACAATCATGACAACACCTGTTTTCAAGATGCAAATGACATGTCTATCAACCATGGAGGCAACATATCCAGCTCCAAACATTCCACGTCACCTTCCCACTATCACTTTTCTCACCCCATATAGCATTCTTTTTCTGCTCAATTGTTCCAACTCAGTTATTCTTGGTCATCCTTTGGGTCTGAAGATTTTGTAATTCATCAGTGGATCCAGACGTGGCTCCATAAACTAAGTCTGGATGGGCAGAGTCTGGAGCAGTGGAGGACATTGGAAGTTGGTGGCTGTAACTAAAGCCAAAGTTGCACAGTGATATTCTTCTCTTTTAATAGTGATTTTTTAACTCTGGTCTTTTTCAAAGTTTCCAGAGATCTGGTGGACAATGGTACGCCAACATGATCAGTTGGCAACACACTTCTCTAGGTCCTTTGGTCTGATCTTGCACCAATGGAGGTTAGTTTTGATTGCATCTCTGCCACATAGCAGCGCTCTGTACAACAGATGTCTGGAAATGTGGTGTTATTCCATGTGGACGACGTGGCCAGTCCTTTGAACTTGTGCCTTGATGAGCCTTGATTCAATGATGGTCAAGTCCATACAGTCCCAAATTTCAAGATTTATGACACAATCATGTAACTCATTGAAGATATGAAAAACACCTTAAGAATGCATCTGATCAAAAACAGAATAATTCTTTTATTATGGGAGACATAATTTTACCTGAAAATTGGTATTAGGTCATAGAGAGCAGGAGAAAATATATGATCTTCTTCTGTATGCTGTTTCTCTTCAGGACAAGGGTTATCGTGGCTCTTCACAGCTTCCTATCCCTTGTGGCCATAAACAGCATTTCTCCCAATGCCAAACCTCCTGCACCCGGTTTTGCCATTCATTAACACAAGCTCATCAGGTAAGTGGTCTGCTGCCTTCTCCTATCTCTCTTGCCTTTTTATATGTCCTGTGAGAGTCAAGTTCTCCAAGCCCTCCTTCCTCATTATGTGTTCAAGAAACTTCAGATCTCTTTTTATGATTCTGAGTATAAATTGTTTGTTTTTTTTGTTACCATTATACTTGCTTAAAATATGATATAGAATGAACCTGATCCAGGCACCTCAAAGTGGTGTAATAGTTAACAAGCTTGAACATTTACGACTGAATAGTGAGTTTGATCCTCAATGGGTGCCCCATAATTTCGGTCTTGTGCCGCATCTAAGCTGCTCTTGGAAAATCATTATTTTGGCCACCTCGAGGCAGTGTAATTGTTAGCAAGCTTGTCTCGCTAGAACAATTACAACTGAATAGTGAGTTCAATCTTCACTGGGTGCCCTATACTTTTGGCTTTGTGCCACCTCTAAGCTACGCTTGGAAAATCACTAGAATGTACTTGATCATTGTGCTAACAAGACAAAAATCAGATGAAAGTTTAACATCTCAAAAATTCTTCATTTAAGAAATTCCAACAACTTAAGTCGGCTAATATTTGAAGAATAATGCTGTGAACTGATATGAATTAAAAAAATTGTCATCTCCCTCAAAAAAAAAAAAAAAAAAATGGTCAAAACTTTTGCATCAATCTGATAACACCTGAAAAAAAAAAAAAAAAAAAAAAACAGAACCTAATTTAATATTGTTCTACCCTAATTTTTTTTTTTTTTAATTCATTTCCCCCCAGGCAAGGAAAAAAAAAGACACTAAAACATTGCTGAGGAAAAAGGACAATAAAAAGAACAGAATTCAAGGTGACAGAAGATGACGACTAACATTGTATTTAACTTTTTGAACACTGTAGTTAACAGAGAATGCAAGAGAAGAAACTATTAGAATAAAAGTTACACAAACCCTTTTTTACTTTATTGTTTTTATCACATCAGCCATATATAATAATAAAACAATAATAATGAAAGTGTTAGTCTGAAAAATTTAGTTAGTAAGTAAAAATTCATATTAAAACATAAAAATACATATCCATAAATTCTAAGATATCTAAAGCAATGTAAAAATAGGAAAGATCTTTTTTAACTAACCAACATTATAATCAAGTAAAATATGTACAAGAAGGTACTGAAAAAATACTCAGCCTATCCACTTCTCTAAATTTAATCAAATGACCAAACATTTTTTTGATAGGCTTCCTGAGCTGGCTAATCATTTTTCAGCACCTCCTTCTATAAAAAAAAAAAAAAAAAAACCTTGTATAAAGAAATACTGATGTTGAAATTTAAGCTGTTTATATTTGTAACATACTTTATGAATGTACTCTTGTGTACCAAATAAAGAGGGTGGGTCATAATAAATGGGGAGGATCAGAAAATATAATAAAGGGAGTTTAATAAATGTGGGGTTGAAAAAAATCTAACAAAAGAGGGTGGGTTTCAATAAATAGGGTGGTTGGGAAATTATTAAAAGATAATCATTGATATTATTAGAAGACCTTGAAAAAATAAAGCTAAAAATAAATGTCCATTAATGTATTTAAGTAAAATATTTTAACAACTGGTTCCTTCTAAAGTATACTTCATCTCCATACTAATTTCTAATTTAGGATTGAGTTTCCAGTTCCTTCTAAAGTATTTTCATTCTCTTTCACTCCCAGTAATCTTTTGCATCTTACTGGCATTGTTGCTTTGCTTGGGGTGAATTGATTTAAAAAAATTTCCATGATTACAATATAAATAAATGGTTACAAATCATTAAAAAGTAAATAATACATATCCGACAATATCCCAAAATAATATCTTAAAAAGCATTAATGAAATTGAAAATATTTCCATAATGTACATTTTACTCTTCTTGTTAATTTATACACTTCTGTTTTTTTTATGCTTACAGTTATATCACATTGAAACACCAGTTCCCATATGATCATTGAAGTTAAGCAACATTGAGCTTGATCAGTACCAAAATAGGTAACTGCTTGGGAATACCAGATGCTGTAAGCTTGGATGTGCAGGTTGTTTAATGGATAATGGCTTGGAATTGTTAATCGGAAAGCGGAATTTTGCATACAAATACCCCTGTGAAAGGTATGAATCCACTTCTTCCCTCAGATTTGTATCACTAAGTCATTAAGATCTAAAAAAAAAAAAAAAATTCTTACAATCTAAAGATATTTTCTGAATTTAAATAACCTGCAATGGATTGATAAGCCATAAAAAAAAAAAAACAAATCAATCAATCAATCTTCTAATAATTGGAGAGGTCTTAATAAGCAACATAAGCAGTTGAAAAAAAAAACAAAAAATTAATGATCAGATGGTACATTTATTTTGCACCTGGTGGACACAACCCAATCATCAATTGGGGATTCAATCACTGATCATGGACCAGTAGCATTTTGTATCAGGGATACTGTGTCTAAAACCTGAAGAAATCTCCAGGCTTAGTGTCAAAGCATTTCTGAGATATAGTTGGCATAGCTTCACAATTAATGCTGAAAGTTTCCAGGATTTCAAAGATAAAGAAGACAAGTTGACATTTAACAAAAAATAACTGAGTGTCATTTTATTTACTGTTGATGGTTATAGCCTCACATTGGATTATAAGTTTGACAAGTAACTGAACTTCCAATTGATCGACTTCATCTGAGAAAAATATGGTCACTGATTTAAAGAATTATTTCCTATGTAAATGGTGACATTTGTTGTTTTGTTCCAGGTCTAACTGTTTTACACACTTTCTTGATAATGTGAAGCCTGTAAAATGAACACTGAACTCCACACACTCCCACACGCCTGACAACAGTTCAGACCTGGCAGATTTTCTCTCAAAACTAGTGGAAAGGTGTTTCCAGTGACAAACCACAATCATTACTTACTCTGTCATATTAGCATATCAACATATTCATTACTGCTAGCATTCCATTCATGAAAATTAAACATTTTTTATAGGCAAGTAAAAGTCATAAAAGCAAAAATAATTCTTGTGCCAGGTGTTACCCATACTTTTTTTTGTTGGATTAGATAGGATAAACATGACATAGGATGCTATCAATATTCAAATATAAATCAATTTCGCTCCAGTTGACAAAGCTAAATTACTGACAATCACATTCAGTTCCTTAAAAAAAGAAAAATATAGATCTTTGTGCATTTTTTATTCTAATTCCGTCTGTAGAGTAATTGGCCATGGTTAAATGGCAGAAATGCCCAACAAACAGAATTGACAAAGTTTCCAATAAACAAATAATAAAGGAAAGAAAAGAACAGGTCAAAGATAATACTAAGTAGACTATATATATATATATATATATATGCTAGACAAAAGTAGGCAAACCAAGATTTAAGGCAAAAAATTCACAAAGTAAGAATAGTGTTAGCACACAAAAGGTTTACAGACAATTGATCACAGCATTCTGATTTTAAAACAAGAAAGAACAAGAAGAATATGGTGGATGAGACAGAAGTGGTCGGTCTTATTGGCTAGGAAGAAATCCAAGCATGCATTTGTATGATTTGTCTATAAATTTGGGGAGTGGGATGTTTTGCAGTTATTCCTAAGCTGAATAGAACCATTATCATCAATTGTTACTTTGTAATTTTGTCAACTCTTAGTGTTAAAAAGAAAAAGAAATAAAGTAACTGTCTGTGATATAATTTTAAATATAAAATCTCAGTTTTTGATTACCTCATGAGACATATTCTTTTTCCAGAGTATATACCCAAAATTTATCCAAAAATTCTCAAACAGTGCAATCATTAAGAAACATTAGAAAAATTCTATTTTATTACCATAGCAACTAGGAATTATGTTGAAGATAATAAATTACAGTAGATTATTTTCTACAGAAAATAATCCACATGCCAGACAAAAAAAAACAATATTACAGTTCCATCAGTGTAGTATTGGTAATGGTTGTAAAAAAATATCCCAATTTACAATATATTAATAACTATCTGAGGTACCTGGCATTGCCCAGGTGTACATGGATGCAATTGTATAACCACACCACCCTCTATACCCACATCCCCATCTAGAAATGTCTGCCGGCATCCCCGCTTGCATGCATCATCAGTTGGTATAGTAAGCTACTCCCCACTCACATCTTTTTTACAGTATGTCCTTCACAAGTGTTTGATTGTTCTTAAGAAAGGAATTCCATCAATAAAACTTCTTGTGTGATTGTTGCTCAGGGTTAAATTGTTTCAATGTTTTAGATATTCAGTAAATTTCCTATCTGTAATAACTTTCAAATGGTATGAAGATGAAAGGCCAGAGCTTCATTCAACTGCAAGTGTAAATGCATGAACGTGCTCCCTCCTTCTTCACATGTTTGCTGTAAAGATGGGGTTAATAAGAGGTTATTTGGGATTTTTTCCCTTTTAACACTTCAATAATCCCTCTCCAACAATCTTTGCATCAAAGGTTGTTTGAATGCCAATTTTGAATGGAATTATATGAAGAAACTATTGGCTAAATGGCAAAAGCTGATTTTGAACTTAGTCTGCTACAGATTTCATCCACTTAACTGAAATAATCTAAACCAAACATTCATACAAGACAATTTGTGTCATATGTAATTTACATGGAAAATTTGGAAAGCATCAGAGGAAATACCAGGGAATTATAGCCAAAAAACGGGCTTTTTTAACAGTTTTTCATGGTTTTTCATTATACATGTAGAAATGAGCAAGACTAAAAGTTTATTTTTTGCAACATGTTTGAAGAAAATCGGACAAAAAATGAGGAAGTTATTCAAGTAGTACAAAAACATGATTTTTTCAGGTTTTTTTTGTGTGTGTGTGTGAAGCTAATGTCGCAGGAAAACTATCAAGCACTCTACATAAACCTCATAACATGAGCTATGTTTTGCATTAAGTGCAAAGAACATCAGATCATCCAGCAAAAATTTTGTTCACATGTAACTTTGCTTTGGTTTTTCCAAAAAGTCGTACACACCTTTTTTCTGCTAAACCCAGAGAGCATGGAGACTGAAAAGTTGGTCTTGACCTATCTTAATAAATTTGCAATGTGTGTACAATTTCATCAAAATCGGTTGAGAAATGTGAATGTGCATAAATAGCATACACACACACATCTTCTGTTTTATAGACAAGAGAAAGAACAAGAATGAGAAATCAAAGATTATTTGAATTCAGAGTCTTACTCCTCTTAGACTAGATATCAGCTAGGACAAGAGAGCTCAATTTACTCTACTATTTAACCCATAGCTAGAGGAAGATCTATTCCTGTCTTTTTTTTAAGGGCAATAATATAAAGGTGAATAAAACAGACCTGGTCAGAAATTGAACTCAGCATGCCAATTTCCTTTCCCACACTGAAAACTTATTCTACCTTCATATTTATATGCATAAACGAGTGTAACAGCAAAATTTTCCAAATCATGGAACAGCATATAATATCTAAAAAAACACTAAACTAACTGAGGTTCTATTTTCAAGATTTTCAGTTAAGACATGTCTCCATCTTGACACCATTTGTTGTAAGAATCACTGAAAAACCCTTCGAGTTATTCAGCTAGAAAGAGAACAGGTTAAAATCATTTTGAGTCAGACCCATTTTCTTCTCAACTGAGCAATGGTGAGAGAAAAAAAAATTATTCAGGCCTTCAGTAATGATACAAACATTCATACTCTGGCTTCTATCTTCAAAGTCCATCCAAGAACCATCAAGAGAACGGTGAATAAGTTTAAAAAACAGGGAATAATAGCAAGGTAAACTGGATCAGGAGGGCACAACAGCAAGGGGGGGGGTCCTCATTTCAACTTAGGGCTAAAGAGATTTGGCACGTGAGAGAGGAATTACTGCTATGACAGTTCAAAGAGCAGTGAAAAAAGACTTGGTAATGAAATTGTACGTGAAACCTGTAAGGCAACTTGTTACTCCAGGACAGAAAATTAGTAGGTTAGAGAGGGCGAGGATCATCTTAAATAATTTGGAAAATGATCCTGAAAAAATATTTATATATATGAACTTTATTTCAGTACTTCATGAGCTTCCAATCCTTAGCTATGATTAATTAATGATGAACATGTCATTTTTGTTTATGATCGATTTCATCACAATTCTTCTGTTAAACTTGGAGAGTAATTATACATGCTTATTGCTCAAAGTAGTGTCCAATAGTGTTATAAAAACCTTGAAGAATTCCAGTAAGATGTCTTTAATCATTTCTAAGATACAATGGTTCAAAGCTTAATGTAACAATTGGACAATTTTGCTGTTACACCTGGTATATCACTCTACATCTATATATAATTTGCTTTTATGATTTAAAAAACAAAAAACATGCTTAATCTCAACACAAAACATTTATGCTTCTGGAATAAGCGTCCTGAAATGTATTTCAGTTATCAGAATCTACACTAGCCTGTCACTTAACACCAGAAAGTTTCAAAACTCAAAAATAATATCACTTCTTTGTCCATTATCGTCATTATCCATTATCTTCAGTGTAAATAATGGATAATGATAAATATTTTGGCTAGTGAAAAATTTGTTTGCATCAAAAAATTATAAAAATGATTTATATATTAAATCTATATATTTATAATCCAGCTTGTGCATCAATAAATATTCTATTCATTTACTAACATTTAAATGCTTACGTTTATATGAAATCATTTATTCAGAAGTGAAAAAAATTTAAAATCATACCAAAAATCCAAATTCCTACACAGGTTTTAAATTTCATCTAATTTCTCTCTTTCTTCATAATGACAGAAACCAGTCTAAAACATAGAATTTTAACAAAATCTAACATGAACTGTGGGTAGTTCTTCAACATCAACACAAGTATAGAGAAACTAAACCACCAACAAGAAAAAAAACTTATTAAAAATATAATAGACATCACTCTACATCTATATATAATTTACTTTTATGCATTAAAAACAGATCTAATCTCAACACTATGATTATACATCTATATATAAGATTCTCTGACTTTCGTTAGTCTGTCTGTCTATACATTGACCAAT